CATATATGTATATATATATATATATATATAATATATCTGTTTATATATATATATATATATATATATAATATATCTGTTTATATATATATATATATATATATATAATATATCTGTTTATATATATATATATATATATATATAATATATCTGTTTATATATATATATATATATATATATAATATATCTGTTTATATATATATATATATATATATATAATATATCTGTTTATATATATATATATATATATATATAATATATCTGTTTATATATTTATTTATTACGAATTTGAAGGATTATTTTTATAAACAGAAATGAAACAGAAATGAAGCAGATCATTAATATAAACAGATCATTATTATTTTTTATATATAATATATTTATTTATTATGAATTTGAAACAGATCATTATTTTTTATATATATAATATATTTATAAACAGATCATTATTTATATATAATATAAACAGATCATTAATATAAACAGATCTATTATTTTATTTTATAGATTGTTAATATTCATAAACAGATCGTTAATATTCATTTTATAGATCTGTTTATTTTATATATTATTCAAGCAAATCATTAATATATCTGTTGATCTGTTGATAAATAATAGATCTATCACTTATCATGAAGCAAAATGTCACTCTGATTGGGAATGTGTATCTGTTTATTTATTTATTTATTTATCTGTAATGGCAGTTTTATTATTGATATGTTATTTTTGTGTTTGTCTGTTTACAAAACAGATCATTAATGTATATTTGTTTATTGTTGATCTGTATATCTGATTGGGAATGTCACTTTGTATATCTGTTAAGAAAAAGAATGTCACTCTGATTGGGAATATCACTTTGTATATCTGTTTATAATGATTAAACTCATAAAGCAAACTTTTAGACCTCAATTGAAGCTTATGGCTAATAAAACTTAATATCATTAGCCAATTTAGGACTGTTCGACAGGATAACTGAATACCATAAGATTTGTTCCGACAGGAATGAAAATCCTGATCTAGTATTTGAAAGTTTGGTTCTTTTAAGTACATTTCTTTATCTATTTATTTATTTTGTGGACACAAACAAAAACTAGTGACAATTTTTTTAGAAATAATAATTTTGTATCATGTAATTTTAACAAATTTATTTATTTATTTATTATAAAAAGAAGAAAATTACAACACTATTCTCTAGCAATGATCTTTACCCAACACTACCAAAAAAAAAAAACTCTTGATTATGTGGTCGTGCCAATCATAGTCAATTTTTAACAAATTTAAGAGCTCTCAAAAGGGTTTTAAAAAAAAAAAAAAACTATAGGGCAAATTTCACTTTAGTTACTCCCTTGTGGTTTGGCCCATGTGCACATAACTGTTGTCATTTGAAAATAAGCACATAATCCTATGTAATTTGTAAACTAAGGTCCATTGTTAAGTCCGTTAATGGTTTAAGCAAAATAACTAAAATACCCTTGTAGATAAGTAGCTTCATTATATAAACCAGAGACATTTTTGTTATTTTTTAAGGGGCAAAATTCACTTTACTTCATGTGTGGGGTTTATCCAGACATTTGGAAATGAACACATAATTCCTTTTAAGTCCTGGCATTTACATTGCGTTAACTGAGACGAAATGCCTATTGGTGTGCTCTTTAGTGCATAAACTCCAAAGTGTTATTTGCTTATGGAGTAAACTGCACAGGGAGTAAAGCACAATGGATAAAGAAATTTGCCCAAAACTATATTATAGTTTGTGTTTATGGGAAATCAACAAAATGGGGGTGGGGAAATCAACAAAATTCCCATAAAAGAATTAGGCTTTTTGTTTCATTTTTTTCGGGAACAATAAAAAATAAAAAATAAAAATCCCTAGTTTCCATAATCATGCGGATTCCAGTTAACAAACATTGAAAAGAAACAATCA